GGGGGGGGGGGGGGGAGAGGAGAGTAAGAAGGCTGCTGACTTACCGTTAGTGTAGTCCGGCAGATCAGCCTGATAGGCTGGACCGATGTTGATGGTTCTGCAATAAGAAAATTGGCGGTTAGAAGGCTATCAGTCGGAAGTTGGAAGATGAGGGTGAGGGGATTAGAGGGAAAAGCAACGCACGGTTCGGAACTGCTGGGAAAGCCCTCGTCAACCTCTTCATCCATTTGGTCCATGTCAATGGTGTGCGAGTGCGGTGAGAGGGCAGAGGCGGCAGTGACACTGCGCATTTCTTCCGTGCGCGGCGTAGCACCCCAGCGATCGTAGTCCTCCTCCTCCTCCTCTTCGTCCTCGTCCTCTTCCTCCTCTTCCTCTTCATCTTCTTCATCCTCCCCCTGCTCATCTTCATCCTCCTCTTCGCAGGGCAGGTCGAATGTAGCCTTCGTAGCCGTTGCGGAAGTACTGATGGGAGACGTCGGCAGGAAGGCGTCGAGAACTCGGCTGACATGCTGATCATCACCCCCAGCGGAGAGGCTGGTGGAGGAGTTCAGGGCATCATCGGTGTTATGGTTGGAACTGGGATCGCCGAAGGCGTCGACAAAGTCAAAGAGTCGTCCTTGTTCAGCGCTGGCAACTGATGCGCGCTCATCAGCGTAGTGAAAAAACGCGGTTTCAACGCCAGCACCACCAGAGACCTCGCTCGTCGCCTCATTGCCGCCAGCGGGGCCAAAGTAGGCGGACACATCGGAGTGTTCGTGCAGTGTGGACCCCAACTTGAGGGACATGGGCGACTGAAAGGCAGGGGGGGATAATGGTGGTCGAACAGTACGCACAGCGAATCTGAATCCGCACAGATAACATTCGCAATTCGCTGTGTTATCTTATTCAGAATAGTTAATATGTAGCGGCAGGCAAGTACTATCTGAAACGAAGAGCCCCAACTAGTAGACTCGCTCTTTCCACATGCGTTTTAGGCCTATGATCACAAAAATACTCCTCATGTTGGGCATAATGTAGTTCATGCGTTAATTGTCTACATCGCACAGATACCATACGCTCTCACGAGCAGGCAACTAGCACGATTATTTACTAAAACTGTATTTCCACTCGTCTGTACAGCACTAATCTCCCCTACAGTGCGTGGGCGATCTCATTAAATGTTGGCCAAAATTCTGGAATGCGTTTCCGGTTAGGAAGGATTACATAAGTGAGGTTGTTATACTGATTATCATGAAGCAAAACTCTATAACATTTCGGACTCGCCAGGATGTCGGCCTTTGAATGCACTCCTTTTAAACCTCCAGCAGTAACCACACTCGGTAAAAATGACTATTTAAGTGGCATGCATTTCTCCTATTGATTTTTTATAGTATTACAAATTCAAATATATTTTACAGAAAACATGCAGAAAAATATGCGTTCTTTTGTTCATTTGGTAGGAAATCACATTGCCTTCATATTTTATGCTCGAGGAAAGTGTATATTTAGGTTTTAAAAAAGTTTCAAATTATGAGATTTTTAAGACCGTGCGATGTCCATGCATGCAAGACCGCACAGGTCCGTTTACCACTGCTCTTTATGAAATGTACAACATAGTCTGGATCCGTTGCGAAATTTCATGAACTCTATGTGGTACCTTCTTATGCATAGAGGAATATATGATTTACATTACGCAGAAAGCATGCACCTTGTAGACTAAAATTGCTAAACGCTGATGCAATGGCAGATCAGGCTAAAAATTATTCGGGAATGGGGAAACTTTTTAAAAACCAAAATATACACTTTCTTCGGGCATAATATATGAAGACAATGTGATTTTCTATCAAATGAACAAAAGAAAGCATATTTTTCTGAATGTTTTCTGTAAAATATATTTGAATTTGTAAGACTATCGAAAATCAATAGGAGAAATGCATGCTACTTAAATAGTCATTTTTACCGAGTGTGGTTACTGCCGGAGGTCAAAAAGAAGTGCATTTAAAAGCCGACATCCTGGCGAGTCCGAAATGTTATAGTTTTGCTGCATGATAATCAGTATAACAACCGCACTTATGCAATCCTTCCTAACCGGAAACGCATTCCATAATTTTGGCCGATATTTCATGGATCGGTCACGCACTGTAACAGCGTCTCCCACCTTCTATTGTTTAAGGCTCACCGCCCTGGGATTACGGTGGCTAAAGTACGTCCATGACCCCTAGCCGTCGAAAGGACCAGAAATAAGTTTTTTTAAAAATGACGCGATCCTGTAAACCAACAAGTGAATTCAAAAGGCGATTTAACGGGTACACGTTTGCTTTCCATAAAATTACATTAGTTGCATATGGTTACTGGGTTAATGAAAACGCATGGGTAATAAGAGGAATCGTGATAATGGTTTCACGCGGGTAAAAGGTGGAGAATGAGGAGGAAGGGAAATTAGAAACAATGAATGTCTTCTGTTCGAGGTAGGAATGGGCAGTAGGGGTTGGAAGTGGACGCGGGAAATTGCATACGGTTAGCAGGTTAGGCGGTTTTTGGTCGTGACATCTATAATGGCCGCACCAAGTTATTTTGTGCGCACAGAATCCACTTACGTAACCTTATCGCGGCTGTTTCTGTCGTTACCAACAGAAATTGTTTTCATGATTTTAGGAAGCCGAGTAAGACTTTACTAATCACTCGGAAGGCTTCTTAAGGGTTTACGCAATGGCTCCTTCCTTGATTTCTACATTCTACTCGTGAGGAACGATTATAAAAAAAGCCGATTCCTCCGAATACCCGCAAGTTTAACTCTATCCACTAACTCTATGAACGTACAAGGCTGATGAAAGTTTGCAAAAGGCAAATGTATGCCCGCCAGCCCCTCCGAGTGTTTTAATGGCAACTTTTACAACAAGAAATGCATTTAACTGACTTCATCTGGACAGTTGAAAAATCCCCGTGTCAAAAACTTAATAATAAGATGACAAAAATATTCACCAGATTGGTAACCAAGTCCACCGTTTTACGCACCCACGTGTGCACATATGCCTTCCAATGCTGTTTAGCGCCAGAAATACTTCGCCTACGTGCACAGTTTTTGGTATTTCCTTTGCAGGTCTTTGATGCTACCTCTT